AGATGTGACCAACGTCAAGGTTTTGTTGAAACCGATGTCGATCTGCGTGTGAGCATGTCATCCAAAAATGACTGATTTGGCTACAAGCACCGACTGATTTCTGACATGGTTAATGGCCATTAGCATGTTAAACGTGCCGCTTAGCCAAGTTTTGCAATGACTTTGAAACGGACTCAAAAACCTCATGTCATGAACGCCCCGGGGAATAGATGACACATGTGGATAAAACGTCGCGACAGGTTTCATATGATGGAAGTTTGCCGTGTGTTATGCACAGGCTAGTGTACTTTACGACCTGACATCATGCAGTTTCTCATAACTTGAGAAATTTGACGATGGTTTTGTCCATTTCATGTCACGCTGTGGAATTCATGTTCCAAATGACGCATTATCATGTTCATGTTTCAAATGATGCATGCTCCAAACTGCTTCCAGATTTTGGCTGTCGGCCTGTCCTCGTCTTAATCTATTTCTCATTTGGAATCATGTGTATCACTGATGCTGCCTATACAGTGGTGATTGTCTCATTCTCATGAGATCTGCTCAGCTTTGCTTATGTTTTGTAAGTACTTCACCATGTTGCTGTATGTACTACATTTCGTGAGCCATCAGTCATGCTGTACAGGCACTTAAGTCGTAAGACCACCAGGATGCAGCTGAAAAGCTGCAATCGGTCTACATTGGTTTACAGTTAAGCAACGTTAAACAATCTGAAGGATGTGGTAACTGGCTGACTGAATCTTTGTCAGCTTTCTTCTTTCACTCTTGATAAGAAATTCATCTTTTAAAAGAAGTCTGTGGAGCGGGGCTTATTGCCATTTTGGGGTGCGGAACAGTGGAGTTTTCAGAACTTCGGACAGTGGCAGCTCTAGTCACGAACGTGATCTTACGAACTTAACTTACAAACATAGTCCGTTACGCTGCTTTTTGCTCTACTTAGGTTTGACTTGTTGCTTTCGGTACCCATTCTTTTTTCGTGGCGGTGCCTCCGATCAAGGACCTGATGCTGTTGGTGACGGTGTCTCTGACCAAGGACCCGATGCTGTTGGTGACGTTGCCTCTGGCCAAGGACCCGATGCTGTTGGTGGCGGTGGCTCTGACCGAGGACCCGCTGCTGTTGGCGGCGGTAGTGGCGCGGCTCTGGTGCGGGGCAGCCTTTCAGTCGGCTGCGTGCCGTCACTGACAGGTAGCTGCCCACTGAAGGGCTGTCCCGACCGGCCCTCTGCGTGACGTCAGGCCACCACCCACCCTCTCGCCACCGCTCTACCTCGCTGTCGCTCTCATCCTCCCTCTCCCACTCTCTTCGTTCCTTTCGCCCACCCATCAGGTCGGCCGACGTGTGCAACTCGGCCTGGACTGACATACCAGCAGCAGCACAGCTAGCCAAGCCGACGTGACATACCAGCAGCACCACAGCCAGCCGAAGCAGGCTGACACACCAGCAGGCGATACAGCCAGCCGAGCCAGTCTGATATTTCAGCTGCCGTCACAGCGAGCCGAGTCAGCCTGACATTCCAGCAGGTGCTGCAGTCAGCCGAAGCAGCCTGACATACCAGCAGGCGATACCACCAGCCGAGCCAGTCTGATATTTCGGATGCCGTCACAGCGAGCCGAGTCAGCCTGACATACCCGCAGGCGATACCACCAGCCGAGCCAGTCTGATATTTCAGCAGCCGTCACAGCGAGCCGAGTCAGCCTGACATACCAGCAGGCGATACCACCAGCCGAGCCAGTCTGATATTTCAGCAGCCGTCACAGCGAGCCGAGTCAGCCTGACATACCAGCAGGCGATACCACCAGCCGAGCCAGTCTGATATTTCAGCAGCCGTCACAGCGAGCCGAGTCAGCCTGATATTCCAACTGGCGTTGCAGTCAGCCGGCTGCAAAACAAGTACAGCGTCATCGGTACGTGTCACCGATTTTGGCCTCAATCGTTAATGAAAGTTGGTTCACGATGGTCCACGGGGAAAGGAACGAAGTGTGTCCCGTCAAACGTCTGATGGCACGTGCAAATCGTACTGCCCAGAGCAGGATCGAATCCTGGCGACACAGGAGACGTTTCATTTCTGTTCCGACCACATTGCACGATAGTGAATACCGTCCATTTTGGTGGCAGTTTATGAATATTTACGAAGTGCATCACGGATAAGCACAAATAATGTACTTTTCATTGGTAGTTCATCTGTCATCCATAAAATTTCAAAAAGCATGTTTTATACTTAATCTGGTTGATGTCCTTCTCGTTGTATTTCCAGTCGTAGGCATACTTTCCATCTCCATGACAGCTGATCACGAATGCTGGGGGCAGCGCACAGCTACAATCGTTATCAGCATTGCGGGAAACGCGTATCAGTTACAGTTATATCAATGAGCATGGCTGCTCGAATTTCCAAAGTAACCCCCTGCGGGATGAGGGCAGCATTAAACCTGAATGCGACAACTTAGTTGTGGTGCAATACTCATGGTGCAGAATAAGCAGGCGGGGATGTGACCTTGTTACTTTTTGTAGTCACATCAGCCGACATGAACAAATTATCAGCTACATAAATGTCCAGCAACGATGGTTTTGGAACCGGTAATAGATGGCTGCGCACAATATCGTTCCAACGGAATTTGACACAACCTATGCGACTCATGATGAATGACAGGTGCCTAAAGTCAATATAAACGTATTCTTCATTTCGACCTCGTTGCGAAATCGCGATTGCTTTTATGGTCGCGCTCCCAGTTCCAGATGGGTTGAGCCGATCCCGCCCGGTCGCCCGATGCCGGCCGGTCGCCTTATGGCGTACCGCCGCGCCTGACCTGCCAAACTTGATTTGCTGCGCATCTAGAAGAGATCCCGCTGATTCCCTGTTTTAGTGTCGGAAAATGAGGTCAAATGACGAAATAGGCCACGATGTATACCTTGTTAGCCCTGAATCTTATCTTCGCCCATGTCTCAGAAAAATGCTGGTATTTAGCTTTCTGATCTTTTCTGAAACCTGATGCTCCGGAAAATGTTTTGCTACAGTGAAATGAAAAAATGTGCGCCGTCCTCATGTTTGTTTTCTTCTTTTAGCTCCTTATCGATACTCCGTACGACTTGGTATGTGGTACCTTAGTCGTAAAATTACACCCTTAGACATTCCCTCTGCGTATTTGAACGGGTGTCATGTAATGCTCCGATCGAATTGTCGTAAAATGACGATTATTTGCATACTAACATTTCCTGCAAATCTCAGCTGTCAGTAGAAAATACCCCTACCGGTCCAAACGACTGCACCAATAGCCATCAAACAAATCAGCAAACCAGGCGGCCCGATGTGGCTGCACTCACTTGTACAGGGCCGCGTATTCGTCCAGCCACGCAACAACCGACGGTCACCGTCTGTTTTTGGTGTTCTTTCCACCTGAAGGCGGTTTTTTATCCGCCTTGCAGGCTTTAGTCTCTCGCGCGCCCTCATCTCGATCCTGTTCGCGACTGGTCTCTGCGCGTGATATGCTGGTCACGGAGCCTCCCATGTCATCCAGGGGTCCAGCCGTACCAACCGCTAGGACGAGTCGAGGAAAGGACGCACCCTATACCACGGGAATACCTGGGCCTGTGCTGCCCTCTGCATCGAAACCGAAGGCGGCCGTTCGCTCTGGCGACGCTGAAATACAAACCCATTTGCGAACAATCATGCTTCTCGTCTCCGATGCGTGTGGGCAACGTAACAGGTCATCGGCACGACCATGAAGCGATACTTCGTCCAATTTGAAACACTTGTGCGCGGAAGATGCAACCTTGCGCAGACGAGGTCGTGGCAGGGCACTATTGGACCGCAATGTAAATTTCTTTCAACAGACATGACCATGGCGACATCGTTCAAATCACCCTTTATTCAAATCACCTTTTCACACCAAATGACTCCTTCACATCAAATCACATCACACAAATCACCTCCGCACATCAAAGTGTGACCTATACGACAATATTAACAGCCTAATCAAGTATAGGTTCATATTCCTGCGTATTGCCTTGTTGAGTAGTTTCCATTGATTGACCCCGTTAAATGTTTTTCTGGCATCCAAAAACTAGACAAACATAGGACTATGATTGCGCTGATAGTAGTTTGCAATGCCTTGAACTGCATAGATAGACATATCCGCCGGGTGGTTTGATTTGAAATCATACTGGCATCCATTAGTGCATGCATTTGCTTTGGCACGATGTGAAACAATCATGTCCAGAATTTCCAAACTAACACTTGAAATCACAATGGGTCTGTGGCAGGACAATAGAACACTGGGAACTCCAAAGTTGCACCTAGCAAGTACCAAAGCATACTAAATGTGTACCAGAATCAGGTTTAAGACCACACTTGGGATGTACCAAAAGTTGGCAGTTCTGAGCCAGCGGCATCTTTGGTGTGGTTGTGGCGATTAAGTGCAATCGCGTCCATCAGTCGTAATACGCTTAATGTTGTAGACTTAGGACAGCGGGCAGCAGCGTAATTTCGCAAAATGAGTAAGAGGATGGTTAAACATTGAAAACTTACCCAACTTGCCCCCAAAATGTACCAACAAGCAGGATTTTCCGCGGATGTTGACCACTTTCTTCTCAAAGTTATATCTTACTCTGTGCCTATTCACACTATTGCTGGTTTTTTCGTCTTGTCGATACTTAATCGTATGGGGTTTTAGCTACATTACGGTGGCATGGTTAGCCTTCGGGCACCATCCCATTGGTGACAGAGCCGGGCGCAAATGACCAATGCAAATGACTAGCCCTTAAACCGCGGATACATATAGAGAGTTCACCGACCGCGGTCACTTGGATCACCGACGACTGGAGAAGCGCCAGGAGCCGCACGAGCTGGGTCGTTGGTGGGGTCACCTCACCACCCCATCTCCACGAGCCGTTTCACGGCCACCTAACGACGGGGTGGCTTCCCGAAATCCGTTCGCATCTTCGCGGCGTCACGTGACTGCGTCCGGATCTCGGACCCCACGTGGCGAATGAAATTACCAACGAGACACTGTAAGACATGTATTTGCAATGCAACCCGTCGCTATAAGCACATTGATAAAGTGGAAGCACAGCAAAAACGACGCTCACGCAGGTGCGACACGAGCTGAGTGGTTCGTGTTCTGTTCACGTGAGGTTGTCTCTCACGTGGAGTGTGTCGGTTGGTGGCTCGTCTGAAACAGGAGAATCGCTTGAATTTTGGCAAACCATACGGTGGTCGGCACCGCATTGCATGTGCTTGCCAGAAACCTACTCAACAATGCGATGAAGTCCACCAAATGTCAGAATTATAACAGCAGCACCAACTTACACCTTGCCCGTCGTAGCTTTGCCTGGATCCAACATTAATATCATGTGAGACCTTGTGGAGTCAACATTAGAGTAGCTATCAAAATGAGGACATATACTGATGACATTTGCGACGTCGTTGTCACAAACGCGGATAATTATGTCATCCAGCCCCCAACTGATGTAATGAAACCGACTGGCACCAAATGTTGGCAAAACGAGCCGAAATTAATCTCACAATTCGAACAAAGCTGACTAGGTATTGTGGAAGCTACACAAGTACTCTATACTCAAACTAAACCATCTATGCCGCAAAATTTGTTTTTAGATTAAAATGCGCCCTTCAATCACGACTGAAAAATCTGAGTTAAGTCTCGGACCCGTGTCTCTGACATCGCTGTATTCGTGCACAACTCCAGGCCCTAGTAGACTGAGCTCAGTTCCCAATTTGAGACTGATTCATCTCAAAAGCTGGGCAATCTACTCAAATCTGAGTCCCCAAAGATCGTGAGTCCTTGCCTCGAGCTCGTTGCTGATACGTACATTGGACGGCGTGCATGTTGAGCCGCCAGCCGTTGCCTGTGGTGCCTCGGTCTGTGTGGTACTCCAACACGACCGCGTTTGTCTGAGCAATGAAGTTCGCCAGCCGACCCGTCTGCAGCAGAGGATAACATAGCGGCTAGAGGGCATGAAGAGCCGTCACAAGGGCAAACGCTATCGGGGCCTCTCCCATGCGGCCCACCGGTGTCCATCGGGACCTCATGCGGCCCACTGCTGTCAAATCGGGACATCTCTCATGCGGCCCACTGCTGTCCATCGCGACCTCTCTCATGCGGCCCACTGGCGTCAATCGGGACCTCTCTCATGCGGCCCTCTAGTGTCGATCGGGACCTCTCGCATGTGGCCCACTGGTGTCAAATCGGGAACTCTCTCATCCGGCCCACTGGTGTCAATCGGGACCTCTCTCATGCGGCCCACTGGTGTCCATCGGGACCTCTCTCATGCGGCCCACTGGTGTCTATTGCGACCTCTTTCAGCGGCCCACTGGTGTCCATCGGGACCTCTCTCATGCGGCCCACTGGTGTCTATTGCGACCTCTCTCAGCGGCCCACTGGTGTCCATCGGGACCTCTCTCATGCGGCCCACTGGTGTCCATCGGGACCTCTCTCATGCGGCCCACTGGTGTCTATTGCGACCTCTCTCAGCGGCCCACTGGTGTCCATCGGGACCTCTCTCAGCGGCCCACTGGTGTCCATCGGGACCTCTCTCATGCGGCCCACTGCTGTCTATTGCGACCTCTCTCAGCGGCCCACTGGTGTCCATCGGGACCTCTCTCATGCGGCCCACCGCTGTCAAATCGGGACCTCTCTCATGCGGCCCACTACCGTCAAATCGGGACCTCTCTCATGCGGCCCACTGCCGTCAAATCGGGACCTCTCTCATGCGGCCCACTGGTGTCAATCGGGACCTCTCTCATGCGGCCCACTGGTGTCCATCGGGACCTCTCTCATGCGGCCCACTGCTGTCTATTGCGACCTCTCTCAGCGGCCCACTGGTGTCCATCGGGACCTCTCTCATGCGGCCCACTGCCGTCAAATCGGGACCCCTCTCATGAGGCCCACTGCCGTCAAATCGGGACCTCTCTCATGCGGCCCACTGGTGTCAATCGGGGCCTCTCTCATGCGGCCCACTGGTGTCCATCGGGACCTCTCTCATGCGGTCCACTGCTGTCTATTGCGACCTCTCTCAGCGGCCCACTGGTGTCCATCGGGACCTCTGTCATGCGGCCCACTGGTGTCCATCGGGACCTTTGTCATGCGGCCCATTGGCATCTGGTCAGGTCATCGTTGGCAATGAGACACGATGCTTCAGGCGGCAGGACGAGGGTCTCTATGCAGAAGTCTATGCCCGCCGGTGCCTGTGACGACGTGCGTTTCTACGTCTGTCCACTGCACACATTCTGAAAACCTCAGGGGAAGTCAAATTGAATGAAAGCTTGTATTCATCCTGCGATATACGTCGAGTTGCTAAGTGTCGAGTTGCATAGGCCGATTGCACTGCAAGGCCCAGCAGCCGTTTCATGCAAACTGGTCAAACCAAGCGTCAGCTGCCACGGCCATTCGCGTGGTTTGGTTAGCTGCTTTCGCTGTCCGGTGGCCGCCAGGCTGAAATCGGTCTACGTGACGACTGTTCATAATCACAGTCTGCCACACTCAAGGGGCTGATCAGCCGTGGGTCAACCACAACCTCAAGGCATCCTAGGTCAGCCAGCTTTGGGGGCGATCACGGGCCTGCACTGCTGCTTTCTGCGCCGATCGTTAACACCCACTATTCAATATACGATGGGTGTAAAATGCAGCATAAACAGCAACGGGCGTTGCGATGACCTCGTCCCACAAGCAATTTCCAGTCTGCATGTGAGAACCACAAGAACAGAGTCTGTCTGTGAGAACGTTTTGTGCCGAGCATGCCATACATTATCGCCACAGCCCCAGGTATACGACGTTCACTTGCTGGGTTCAAATGACGCGTCAACGCCGTGAGGATTCCCATATGTACGCGGGGCTCGAGCCCACTCATTCCCGCAAAGCTTGACCGTTGACCTCGGTCGGCACTCACCTGGCCGCAGTGTGTCGTCACGAGGGACCTCTCTCCAGACGAGCCCACCGAGAACACGGACAGGTAGGTCGAGTTGCAGCCGCCCACTCTCGAGCCAAAGTCCACGGCTGCGGCCGGTGTCAGTTGGGTTTCGTCAGAACGTAGCTTCGCCCGGCCGGCTTTCGCCAGTCCATCAAAGCGGTTAAGCTAACCGAGGGAAAGCTCCATAGGACGATCCCCAGAAACGACAAGGAAGAAGGCACTTTGACGCATGGCTGTTGATGATGTTGGATGTGTGATGATTTGATCATGGTTGTTCACATGTTTGATGGTGCAAGTCCATGTCCGTGACTTTGGCATGACTCAAGCTCATGCCAAAGGCACTAACGCAGTCTGGCCTTTTGCCGACACTCTCCCAACCTTTGACCATCAGTTCGGAAAACTTCGCGATTCAAAATTATGAGGATGTCAGTCACATACATACACAGATGCATGCAAAAGTCATGACTAAAATTTTAACTTTCTCTACAATGGTGACTTCGTAATTATCACGGTGGAAATGCCCTCACACTTTGTTCACACCGTTGATAGGTGGCATTCAGGCGGGCAGCCAGGGCCTTGGCAAAGAGAGGCACAGGATTGAGAAATGGCCCCTGTTTTGTGATTCACAATTGAGAGAACCCTTAATCAAGTGGCCTACTCACCGCCTGAGAAGTACAGCCCGAGCTTGTATGGCGGCGGCACGGAGAGAGACCACCGGCACACCGACTCCCTGGAGTAGTTGCCCGGGTAGCCTGGGCTGATCACTGTCGTGAACATGCCGTGGAACGTGCCGCCACACTGGGCTCCTGAGGATCAGGCCACAGTCAGTGCACACTGGGCTCCTGAGGATCAGGCCACAGTCAGTGCACACTGGGCTCCTGAGGATCAGGCCATTGTCAGTGCACACTGGGCTCCTGAGGATCAGGCCACAGTCAGTGCACACTGGGCTCCTGAGGATCAGGCCACAGTCAGTGCACACTGGGCTCCTGAGGATCAGGCCACAGTCAGTGCACACTGGGCTCCTGAGGAAGCCACAGTCAGTGCACACTGGGCTCCTGAGGACCAGGCCATTGTCAGTGCACACTGGGCTCCTGAGGATCAGGCCACAGTCAGTGCACACTGGGCTCCTGAAAAGTAGGTCATTGTCAGTGCACATTGGGCTCCTGAGGACCAGGCCATTGTCAATGCACAGCGGGAGGACATCAACTTCAAAGGAGTTCAACATTCGCCGCGAACATCGTATCCCTTCAGGCCAATTGTCTATTACGAAGAAAGTTGTCTGACACACACATTTATCAAAGTGGTACCAAAGTAGAGTACCCGAGGCATTGGCTGCATTTAATATCAACCCGGAAAAGAGATTGCGTTGAGCGCACCAGTATGTACATACGTCGATGCGTGAGGCATTTAACACAGATGACCATACGTTACAAGCATCCCACCGATCACAGAACCGTACCGCGCTACCCAAGGAAGTCATGGTGTTCGGAGGACCATGCTGTGCCAAGGGGGAAACAATTGGATGATAGGCACCCGATTTGTTCACCTGATTTGTTAATAGGCATAGTTTTAAAACCACCGGTAAACATAGTAGAATGCATGTAGAAATATATGTAGAATGCATTGCCTATTTTCATGGGCGAAAATGCGGGTGTTGTTTTCTCCCTTACCAACGTCAGAAACAAAGTAGTTCGCGAATAATTTGTATGTTTGCGATGCTGTCACGCGAAGCAGCAGGTGGTTGCCCGAAGACACAACGCTGATTGGTGTATACAGGCTCTCGCAAGCCTGGTTCAGCTGGGGCGAACTTCTTGAGTTTCCATCTAGCAGCTGGAACAGTCACGAACGGACAGTTGTACATTCGTTCGAGTTTGAATGAAGACAAAGCTCTGGTCAAAGCATTTACGAGCCTTCCTGCACAAGCACCGATGCATGTGGATGCCTATATTCCCCACATGTGGCGTGGAGTCAACACCGTGAACATATAAGATTCGTGCAGTGCGATGATGAAGTACGTTTGCAGAGGTGCTCAATGGCAGACAACAAGCATTTTGTTTTCTTATGAAACTGACCTATTCC